CTACTACTACTACTACTACTACTACTACTACTACTACTACTACTACTACTACTAGTAGTATTAGTCTTATTATTATTATTACTACTACTATTATTGTTGTTGTTATATTGTTGTTATTTATAATTTATACAATTAACCTCCTTGTGATTCGATCCTAGTCTTGTCGGATTACTTATTACTTAAACACTCCTTCACTTAGGAGAAGACATTAATCTTTTGGTTGTGTCAGCTTTTACCCTCTAGGTTGCATCATTTGTATTAATTTGTTTCATATAAAGTTTTCACAGCCTCATGATTTGATTTGTGAATTTAGTAGGTTAACTCTCATTGATCAAATATGTCTCAATATTTTTTTTTAAATATATTATTATCTCAATATTTAAAAATAATATCGTCTAATATATATTATATTTTGAATTCATGATTAAACATTTGTTCTACTATAAAATACATTAACAATATCTAAATATTTTTTTACATTAAATTTTTTTTATCCAATCACAACATACAACATAATGTGAGGCAATCATCTTGAAAAACACTATATTTATAAAAATCTAATAATTCTTCTAGAAATTTATCCCAATATTTGAACGAAAATAAAAAAGAAAGTAAACCTTCTTATTATTAGATTAACACTTTAAGGTTAAATACACAAATTATATGCTTAGAAAATATAACAAAACTTTGGGAATCATTATTAAGCTTCATTGTTTTTTTTTTTTCCGACTTAGCCTTTTATATTTTTATTTTAATTTGATTTTTTTAATTTTATCCTTAGATTTTTTTAACAATCATTTGGGTTGGCTTTATACAAGCCAAGTAAATTGGATCATGTTTGAGCAACTTCTACACAAATTAATTTTAAACTCGAACTAAATATGAAAATGAGTTGAAAGGTTTTTTATATCAATTTTATCTTTTTATTTCTTAATTTTATTTTTAAATTTTTTTTATATGTAAGCCATGTTCTCTTTGAATTATCCAAGTTGACTGATTTATATTAAGATAACTCACATGTAGTTTATTTTTAAATTCGGGATAGACAAGAAGTTGGGTCTAAAGGTTTTTATGTCAATTTAATATTTTTTTTCTCAAATTTATTCTCAAATTTTTTTACTAAATGATAATTTTTTTTTAAAATTGATCAAATCAACCGTGTCATATAAAATAATTTTTATATTATTTAATTTTAAATATATATTAAACAAGAATTTATATCAGAATCTTTTAAATTGACCTAATAGTTTGAGTATAATAAAAATACTATACAGCTTTTTACTATTTAAATATTTTTAGTTAATTTTTTTAAAAAGATCATTATGCCTATTAGAAACAACTTGTTTGTTTTTTATTATAAAATTATATTTGAATTGAAAAATATTAAATTAATATTTTATAATATTTTATAATAATTTTGATGTTATAATAAAAAAAATTAAAAAATTATTTTAATAAATTTTTAAGTTAAAAATATTTTTAATTATCGGATTCGAAGGAAAAAAACAAAGCTAAAAAAAAGGTATTCTCCGAAGTTCCCCTCTCTGTCTCTCAGACACACGAGTGAGTCTCAAATTTATAGCAGGACCAAGTCACTCCTCATTTCTGTTCCGTGGATGTATAAAAGAAACCCCCTTCCTCTCTATTAACAAGAGAACAGTAGCAAAAACAGAGAAAAAACCAAGACAGACACACAAGAGAAAAGGAGAAAAAAATCAAATCTTGTTATGGTTTTCAGTTCAAGAAATTCTAGAATGAATGGGAAAGATCATGTTCCTCTACAATAATAATGCTTTGTTTGTTGTAGCAGACTAGGTAATCCGATTGATGGATTGATTTTGACACAACTTTTTTTTCCTTGGTTTGGTCTAACTGCGAATATTTTTTGTTTTTCAAGTTTACTCTTCGAATCAAGCTTTCTTTTTGGCTTTTGATTGATACCCATTTACACTTGGATACTAAAAAGAAAAGGGTTTCTCTTGTATTCTCTTTACTCTTTATATATTCGACAAGTTTCTTTTCTTTTCGATGGATTCCTTGGAGCTGAATTTAATGGTTTTTTTTTTTTTTTTTTTGGGGGGGGGGGGGGGGGGGGGGGGTTGAGAATTGGATTCTATGTGCTTATTGGGAAGTTTGTCTTTTGGTGTGTTTGTTTAGGGTTTTACTGGATCATGATTGGGAACTTATTGAGTTTCTTTATTTTGGACTAATTAGGGTTTTGATTCAAGAACACAGCAGGAAATGAGCTCTCCTTCAAGTGATTGGAGTTGTGGATTGGAAAATTTGTTCTTTTCGCAAATTGAGGTCGCATATAGTGGTATTGTTGAGCATTGCTTGATTTTGGGCATGGATGAAGATTGCACGTTTAGGATTGTTTGGCAGTGAACAAGAATTGTTTCTTCTTCTGTATTGGAAGGTAAAGGTTCCTGGGTTTAGCTGTTTTGAGCTTGATCTTGAACTTGGGAATGATTTGTGTATTACGGTTTGGCTTTAAGGGAAAGGAGGTGATGGTTCTTTGTTGGAACAGGAATCAACACAGAAGTTCAGATTGTAGTGGACAATTTTTATTTCTCAAGGAACCTTTTGGTTTGACATAATTTGAGTAAAGTTCTTTATCAAGAAGGAAAACTTCTCAAAGTTATTGCAACAAGTTTTCGTTGGACTATTGCAGTATAGTGTACTATAATAGCAGATTCGATCGAGTGGATTAGTTTTGAGTTTTATTATTGAAGTTAACATATTTTGAATGATGAAGTACTGTATTGAAACTAATTTCCAGTGAATTCTGTCTCACCGGAGTGTGCATTACGGTGAAAGGGATTGGTGGGTTTGGAACCTGTGGCTATTGGATGTGATATATAAGTTCACGGAGAAGTGTTGAAGCTGGAAATGAATTTGGGGACATGTTGCATGGACAGGAGCATGGTTACCGGTCCATTCCCTTTACAGAACTGGGCTGCTTGAAAGTAATTCAATCATTTTCTTCCTTGAAAGGCGTTGTTGTTTTGTGTTTTGGGATTCTGTTCAATGTCGCGTTGCTTTCCATTTCCACCACCAGGATATGAAAGGAAGATCAGGAGTGATGATGTTGACCTACTAAAAAAGGTTAACACACTTTCCTTTTACTGAATTGCATTGCATATTTGGCACGATTTTTATTAGAGCCATCAAAAGTAATTCAATTCTTATTTTCATTTAGTCAAACAATCCACATTACAACCAATTTGGTGTTCCATTGGTATTAAATACTTTCTATAAGTCTTTGCTGTCATGTCTTCACTTAAATTACTCTTTGACTTATCACTTAATAGTTTTAACTGATGATTCAGAAACAGTATTCCTCTCCAAATGAAGCGCATTCATTTTCATAGGCTTCTTTAAACAAAGATAAGATTTAATCATATGTGAACAAAGAGTTTATTGTTTCTTTGGATGCTAAAAAGTCATGGTTGATGAAATGACAAAGTGACATTTATCTGATATAGATAGTTTTGCTTTCATGCTTCTGATAAAATGTTTGATTCATGGTTTTCTTTGTTATTTTAAGCTCTCTCTGTATGTTTTTAAATAGTTATCGTTATGTGTAGACCAGATTGATTTATTGGCTCATGGTTTATTTGTAATTTATTAATCTATATGGTTGTTGCCATCTTAGTTATGTTATTTGAGTATTAAGCACCTTGAATATGGCATCTGCAGAAATTTCTTACATAAGAAATTAGGAAGAAGTGTCCATATTTTTCATGTATGAATCTGACCCCTGATTTTTGTGATCTTTTATGAGAATTTTGTCTTTGTATTATTAGCCCAGATTTGCTCATTATCGTTGGAAAGACTATAAAAATGAGTTCCAAAGCTGAAAAAAGCTCTTCCATATAGTGTAGTAAAGGAAAGTTTTTTTGTCAAAAGCTCGAAACTTATAATTTATTCATTTTTCATCACATGTTCAACTGCCATGATTTGGAAAATAGACAAGATATGCTAACCTTGAAGTAGGGATGAGTATTTTCGGTCCAGTCCGGTTTTGGACCAAAATAAACAACAAATCAAAATTATTATTTTTTTCAAGTTTTTGAACCGAACCAAACCAAAAACCGGTTCAAATCGATTAATTTCAGTTCAATTTTTTCCCCTTTCAAACTGGTTCAAACCGAAATTATTCTGGTTAAGTTTTTTCTAGGCTTTTTATTGACCACATTTTTCAGGGCTTTTATTTTTGTACTTGCTTCCATTTTCTAGAAAATCAACTTCAATTTTTTTTTTTGTTAGATCCTTGCCCAGAAATTAAAGCCAGCAAAAAAATACACAATACAAAAGGAAAGGAAAGAAAGTAATTTCACTGCAAAAAATAAAAAGAGGGGGGAATCAAAAGTTATTGAAATGAAAAACCATTATTATTTGAACCAGAGGAAACCAGTTGCAAAAAGTTTACATAGATCCTTACCATCCATCCTTATCTTCTTTACATGGTAGAAGTCACTTCTCTTCTTGTTTTAGCTAATTAAGTTCCTCTCAACATTTCTCTTTTTGGAAACTCTTATGCTAGCCTTCTAATTGGCTTGGATACCTTTTCTTTTTATTTAGGTCCTCGGTTGGGTCTTTCCTTTCTAGAACAATCTAATTTCAGGTGTGCCTTTGCTTGGGAGGATAGAGGATCATAGAATTTAATTGTTGTGGAGCATGGAGGAGAAGAAGGCAAATTCAAGAGATGAGAGACAGAGAGCAGGTGGAGGGGGGCGGCTGGGAATGCTGATTTAAGTTTAGGGTTAGAAAAAAATATCCTATTTATACCTTTTTGTTTTTTCAAGTGCTAGCTTAGTTGAGCCGGGTTGGATCGGTTTGGTTCAATCAGTTTCAAAATTTGAAAACCGAAACTGAACCAAACTAGAAATGTTTTGTGATTTTCTAATCTGTTAATTTGATTTTTTTTCTCGGTTTGATTTTTTCAGTTAATTTTTTTTCTTGTTTTCTCGGTTTAATCAGTTATTCAGTTTTTTTGCTCACCTCTACCTTGAAGAGCCTTAATTAATTGAAAGCTTTTTCTATTTTTCTACATTTTTTTTTTCATTAATTTGAATGAATGAGAACTATACACAGTTCAGTTATTTATTGGGTTGACCATTTTTTGTGTCCTGTTAAATAGTTGGTTCAATTTCCCCAAGCTGGCTGCTTGTAAAATCCTTTGTGGTCATGTTTGTTGATGAGACTATATTTGCAGTATGCATGAAAAAGTTCCAGGGTGTGGAATACCAAATGGCATGAAAAAAAAATGCATTATAAGTTGTCATGTCTTGTAATTTTTTAGTTGAATTTAACATCTAATGAAAAACTAGGATGAAATACTGAGAACAGGACCCTTTTGTGGAAAAGAATGGGCGAGACGCGAGACATAGGGCATTCTGTAATTTACACCTGGAAATGTGATGCTGAAGCTTTTTTTTTTATGCAGAGAATAAGAAAGGCTAGGATAACTTAGATATTAGGTCCTATAGGTTCCTGCATCTTCCATAGTTCCCAGTAATGGAGTACAGCAAGGACAGGTTGAAGTACCCAAAACTACTGCAGACAGAGTGAAAGGAGTATTCCTTAATCAGTAGTCTTCCCAAAAATGGATGTGGATATGATTCCCTATATGACGAGAAACTTGGGATACAAATATTTAAATATTCAAGTATGTGACAGCTGTCATGCTAGCATTCCCAACTCTTCAATTGAAAACCGTACTGTTTGTTATGTGGAGGGTTTTACTGCATTGTAAATATCACATGACTTTGCATTGCTAATAAAAGCAGCCTTAATTGAAAACTGTAGGATTGCCATTTAGCACTCTTGAATTTCCTTTTTTTCTCTTAAGCGTTATGGAACATTGATGTTCCTGCCTCATTAAGGTGTTGGCTGCATGAACCCTGGATTGAAAAGTTCACAACTTTAACATCTAGAATTCCCTAAAATTCATTTTCAGGGTCAATTTTTCTGAGAGCGTAGGGTTGTAACTTCTTCTAACATCTTTCCTAAACTTGTTTATCGAAATTTGCTTTTTAACTTCAAAGGTATTTGTTCTATAGATTATTAAACTTTCAGCAAAGGAATGCTGTGCAGTTAGAGAAATACAGTACACCTGGTTCTTAAATTATAATGAAGCAAATGCTATTATGATTTTCATGGTGAGATTTATGTACTAAGAAATCTTGTTGACATGGTTTGGGAAACCTGCATTAACTAGAGTGGTATTTCGTGGTCTCCAGGCTTTACAAAGTTTCTGCTCATTCATGGTCAAGTTATTGAGAATAGATTGTCCTTTTTCAGGATGCACAGAATAAGAAGTGAATAATAAGAGGAGCTGTGATCAGTTCCTCTAGAAAATTTCTGCTAACCTTCAGTTATTGGACGTGTTTGTTCATTCCTAGGTGTGTGCAGGTGGGCAGTGCTTAACTGTGTCTTAAATAGAGAGTTCAGATAGTGTTCACACTATTTTGCTATTGGTCTTCAAAGTTTGGGGGTAAATCCTTGGTAAAAGTCCTGTTTCTCTGAATCGTATATGAATGGGAACCCGTTAATGATAATTCATACAAGCTGAAAACATGTAATAAATATGAGATAAGAACACACTTCTGGTGTTAGCTCCAATTGTACTGTTTCATTAGTGTCTGCTTTTTTGTTTGCATCTGTCCACCCTGGAAAGTGCAATGAAGTAACTGCCTTAAATAAAGGATTCAAGGGATGGTTGTTAACTGTTCTGCGCTTTGTGTTTGAGTTTATGAGTTAATAATTGGTTTTTAAATTCCTGTTTTAATGAATTCCATGTGAAAGGGTTGAATTAATTGTGTTTATCTGTATTACTACTTGAAATTAGGAGAGATGAAGTTTGTTGGACTGCAAGTGAATTTGTGTCAATTTTTCTGGCCTCTTTTACTGATAAGTGTAAGTAAAATTTTATGGTGTTAAAGGAGTAGCTGGTGGCATCTCTTCTAGGCCAACTTTAAAGAAAGAGATAGACATATGAAGGAGATAGAAAATAAGCATATCTCCTCCTAGGCTCTCTCTCTCCTCTTTGTGTCCTCTTTTTTGAAAGTGGGTCCGGAAGACAAGAAGAGTTAATAATAAGATGCTACTATTTACTCCCTGAGCCCCATAAAATTACTCAAGTGTAAGGCGTAAAAAAAGAGATAGGCTTGCAAAATTTGAAGGAAAAGAACTATGTATTTGCTGTTTTATATTTTTTTTGGCATTCTATCACTTTTGTTTAGGAGATGGACAGGCTGCTGAGTGCATCAGGAACACCAAATTAAGCAGCTTCTATTTATATTTATCACAAGTCACTGTTGCTGAGTTGAAAGATCACGTGCAGATCTGTCTCTTGCAGGCTTGGAGCAACGTAGCTTCTCAGATTTGTTTATGCTAGGGAAATTATTTTGATGAATAAATGGGCTGGATTCAGCTTGTTTTCCTTGTAGATTTTCCCATGGGATAGATGCTGCAAGTCCTTTTTATATTTCCTTAACAGTTTGATTCTGCTCCATGAATGGAGTAGCTTATTTTCCTATTTTAAATTGCTTCTTTTTATATTTGTTGCTCATATTTGGTTCTGGCAGCCATTTTATCACATCAAGTTCTATGATCTTCCTATTTTAGTTTTGATATCTGGGGTGCATAGAGATTTTTGTATTATGAGAATACCAGTTTTGAAACATAAGGTTACAAATAGTGGGGCTAGATTGCAGATAAGTGTGCTTTGCTCAAATATCAGGGATTATGTCCATGGTACTACTATGACATCACTCATATTCTCCATGAGCTTCTATGTTTGGGGTTGTAATGGTATTACTTCGTCGGATGGTTTCAGACTTTTGAGTATATGGAAAGAAATGGAAAGACGCTGCTGTAACTCTATATTCAAACTGCTCTCTGGGCGTAGTGGAAAGGACAGAAATATCTTTGCCTGGGAGAGTAGGTTTCTATTTGAGTTGGATAGGATGGTTAGAGTTTTTAACTTGTATCCATAAAGTTCCCCATCCTTCGCTGCAACAGTGTAGAGGTCTAGTCTGAAGGAAATGTTTTCTGGATTATTTTTGGTATTTCTGTCCATAGGGCTCTGGTTAGCTCATGGGAGTTTCTCATTTCTTTCTGATCACTTTTCTTTTATGTTTTTTACTATTTGGAAGTTGGCTGATAATTGGTACTTGCCATAATTTAGGCACACATGGGCTGCCTTGCATTCTGCTCTGTTTCTTGGATAATGCTTAGGGCAGGCCTCTACATCAAAGTCTTGATTTGTCTTGTGAGCATTTTGTTCTCTAGTTTTGGGTAGTAAAAGGGCTGAATATTTTTACATGATTTGCCTACGTAATAGATTCTATCTCTGATTCTCTTGAGTTGAATGATTTCTTATCACTTTCCATAATTTTCAGGAGGACAGGGTGAATAAGCACAAGGAGAAGAAAGATAAGGAGAGAAGAGAAGACAAAGAAAAGAGGGAGAAAGATAGGAGTGATGGAAAGCAGAGGAACAAGAAAGACAGAAAGGAAAAGCATAGAGAGAAAAAGGAGAAGGATAGAGATAAGGATAAAGACAAAAGTAGCGCCTCAGATGAAAATAGACTTGCAGGACAAACTAAGCTTCACAATGGAGGAGATAAAACCTCAGATGAAAGAAAATTCCCTGGGCAATCTAAGCATGTCGTTGGAGATAAAGCCTTGGATGGAAGGAGACTTCAAGAGAAATCTGAGGGTAATGGAGGAGAGACATGTACTCAGAAGGGGAAGGAAAGGGATGTAGATAAGTATAGTATCTCTGGTGAAAACAAATTTTCTGGGCAATTTTCAGGTTACAATGGACAGAAACTAATTCAGAACAACAGTAATTTGTCTCACTATCCTAAGGATTCTAAATTTGCACAGCAACTGGGCAAGAGAGCCAGAGATGAAGACCAAAACCAGTTCTTTGAGAAGTTCCCTGGTACAGATGCAAAAAAGGACAAGGGAATGGTCAGACTGGTGGCAAAAACCTCTTGCAGTTGGGTTGAAGGAAAAGAAAAGAACAAGACAGTTGATGATAGAAAGTTGGATGGGCAAGGAATCAAGGATGAGGCAAGATTTACTGGTAGTGCTCAAAGCCTTTCTGCAACATTTCAGGCTAGGATTGATGGAATGCTTAGACCACTGGAGAAAGACATTGAGAAGAAGATGAAAGGGAAAGATAAGACCAAACAAAAGGAAACGAATGATAAAAACGAGGATCAATGCAAGGATAAAGAGAAAAAGGGCAAAGAGAAGGATAAAGTCAGGGATAAGGAGAAGAAAAAGGAGGAGAAAGAAAAGGAGAAAAGGGAACGTAAGAAAAAAGAGCCGGATAAATTGAAGGAAAGCAATATGTCTAACATTGTAGGTAACCATACTGTAAAAGCCTCCCATCTTTCCAAGGAGAGCTCTAATAGTGCTGTTGAAGTAAATATCAAGAAACGAAAGGACTCGGACACAAATGGATTTTTGCATGGTGAGTCAAATTCAAATAACTATTACTGAAACCTTGTCAAAAAATGTCTTTAATGGATTTTAGTGGGTTTATTGTATTCTTCAAGGTGTAGATTTTTTAGTTTTGGTATTGATTGACCAGAAATGTGATCCCAGATATTAACAGATTTTGTGGCAAGTCCAAACTCCACATGCTTTGTATAAGCTAACGCATCTGCTTCCTTTTCATTTTCCATGGCAGCTAATGATGTTAAGCCCAATAAGTTGCCAAGACCTACTTCCTTGCCTCAATCTGCTGAGAATGGAAGAATGTTGGGAACTTGCGAAAATCCCACTGCAGCTATACAAGTTAAGCAGGAGGCTGTCAATATGGATAAGAAGGATAATAAAGGACACAAGATAAATGGTTTGATAGAAGCTCAAGCTCCGTCCATCTCCTCAACAACTCATCCTCTATCAATCTCTTTAACGAAGTCTTTAACAAATCCATCACATTCTACTGCTCAAACTGATGAAATAGCTGAGGTGTCTAGGAAACAACCCCATCCTGATTCCAAGTATCTGCCTGATGTGCTTACAGTACCCAAAATGGAACACTGGTCTGACTTTGAGGACCAAGAATGGCTATTTCAGAGTACTTATTCCCAAACAAAGAAGCCCCAGGTTGAGGTTTCAGTGGTCAATGAGAAACGAGAGGTGTGGTCAGAAGCTCTGCAGATTGAAGCGGCTGATGTTTATGCACTGCCATACGTTATTCCATATTGATGATTTGTGCAGTTGGACATGGTTGGCCATCCTCAGCGTCTAAAGTGATGGACCCTCCATAGGACCACAGAGGAGAGGTATAGCAGCCTCCGGGCCTTGGGTTGGCTATTTGATTCTCAACTGCCTCAGTTTCGAGACGGTGGTGATGTGTGTTCTTTAACTGCCTGAGTTTTGAAAAGGTGGAAAATGCAAATGATCTCGGACCCTTCATTGTATACTAGGTTGAGCAGAGATACAAGGGTATTGCTGAAGGGCAGAAACCCTGCGGGTCTGCTTGGAAGAGATGCATAAGCGTGTGCAATTTTATTTTATTTATTTGCCTAAAGCCTAGCTCTTTTAAGTTGAAAATGTAGAAGGAAAAGGCTGTGGTCTTGGCAACTCCACAAAAATTTTGAGATGTAACATACAAGGCTTATTTACAGAAAATGTAAGATAGAAGAAAAGTTAGCATTCATTGAATGACAACTTGTTACTGTTCATGATATTTCATTTTCATCATGTAACCTTCGGTTTTCTCCGAATCAAGGCATTTGTTTCTCTGTTTTTTTCCCCTTTCGGATCCCGTTTTAGCTCCCTTGTTTGTTCTTGCTAATACTTTAGTTAGGCATCCTGTAGCGGGGGGCTTTTTAGCTAGCATTATTAAAAACTTTTACCATCAACGGTTGTGTTTTTCCTAAAACCTTTGAAAAAAAATATTTAAAATTATTTTTTTTATTTTTATATTATTTTAATAATGTATTTAAAAAAAAAAAACTTGAAGCTTCACCATTAACACAATTTCAAAGATGCCTTTAATGCATCTTGATCTTACTTTTAGCTTCAATTGGTTTTTAAATTAAATTGGATTGGTTAGCTTTTAATTCATATATTACTATGTTAAAATTTAATTTAATTTAATTTAATTTTTTTAAATATTAAAAAAATAATATTTTAGACTGACCTGAATTAATCTGTCTGATGACACAATCAAAAGATTGATGTCTTCTTCTAAGTGTAAGAGTGTCGAAGTAATAAATAACCTAGTAAGATTGATGTCGAATTACATGGAGGTTAATTGTATAAATTATAAATAACAATTATAAATAATAATAATAGTAACAACAACAACAATAATACTAATAATAGTAGTAGTAATACTAATACTAATAATAATAATAAGAAGAAGAAGAAGAAGAAGAAGTTGATGAGAACTTTGAGATGGAATATCAATGTAAGGGTTAAACAATGATAACAATAAATGTCAAGGATAGTGGATCCACTAATGGTATGTCAAATAAATATAGTATAAACTCCTATTAGTCAATTGAAAATCACACACAAAGAAGGTTCCAATCAGATTATAAATTGTTAACATGATTACATTAGTTATCTTATTCGATTAATGTTAATACCTATGTGCCAACAGAGGAACATATGATTGAGAAGTTGAGAGATGGTTTGTAATAAGATTTGAGACAAGGATTGATTGACTTTCAGGTTAAATCTATTAGGGAGTTGATTGAGACTGCACAAGCTTTAGAAGCTTGCATTGGAGAAAGTAGAGGGGGATATTAAGGTATAGGCAAAAAGAGAGATGGGGACTATTTCAGCGGCAGACCACCATTTTTGAAAAAGGAAAAAGTGGAGTGTTTGAGAAGTACAAGAAAACAGGGGAGTTTGATGTTACCGCCTCACTAACAATCAGGTGGGAGAGTGATAATTGGGCAGTCGTACTCAAGGGCAAACTCATCAACTAGGACCGTGACCGTGAGGGTGTTGACTATCCTTTTTATGTAAAATATGGACAAAAACACCCTGGGGACTGCTTAGTTTCCCCCAGGCGATCCTTCGTGTGTAGAGGAGAAGGTCATAAATGGAGGGACTATCAGTACCTGGGTCAAGGGTGTTATTACTATAATGGAAAAGGTCATTACAAGAGAGACTACCCTAAAAGGCACACTGGACAGGTACAAAGCTATAGGCAACCGAGTCAGAGCCTCCAACAATCAGTCATGGTGAATAGGTCAGTAAGATCTTCTCAATCAAGAGCAAACTCCAATCGAGGGAGTCAAGGGCACAAAATGATCAGACCCCAGGGAGGGTTCTCCACCTGACACAAAAGGAGGTGAGGGATGCATCGGATGTGGTGGCAGGTACACTATTAATGAATAATTTTAATGTGAATGTGTTGTTTGATCCAGGTGCCATCTACTTATTCATTGCTAGGAGAATTGTCACTAAATTGAGAAAGGGAGTAGAAATAGTAAAGAAGGGGTTTTGTAAATATTGTCAGGTATTCATGATTATAACTTATGTTAACAACAAATCAAGTTCCTTTCATAGCTCAGGTGTCGGTTGTACCATATAGTATAGGCTATGAGAGTGCCAAGGATTTGTTGTACCAAGTGTTATACAACATAAATCTAGATTAGTAATTTAACAAGCAAAGTATTAAAGAGTGAATAAGATAACAAATACAAAACATGTTAGTATCAAACCTTAAAGTTCATATTAAGTTTACACTATACTTATTCTTACACCATTAGTGTAATATTTTCACTTTAACATAATAAACTTAACTACACATAATGAAAGAAAGAAAAATAAATAAAAAAATAAGAATATAAATAAAATAAAAGTTAACAAAGTAAAGGAAATGAACTGAAAGGCATAAACTTATATTAATGAAAGCAAAACTTAAATATTACAAAAATACAAAAAGAGAAAGCAAGAGCATAATCTTGATCTGAAAACCAAGATGCCTAAATGCATGGCAAATGCCTCCTTTTATAGGCCAAAATTAGAAACTATTAATTTGATAACTAATTGATGAGTGGGTGGCCAACTATTGACTTGGTGACAATCCTTATCTTCTCTTGTTTGCCCAAAATATCATTGATAACATCAGAATTGGAACCATTTAAAAACATGAAAGTTGTAGGAAATTGTCTCAGCTTTTCAGAAAAAAACATGAAGGTCATTTGGATTTTAAAACTCCAGATATGGGTCAAATACTGAACAGCACTTGGGTTGTAACATAGATTCGGATTTCTTTGTTGTTGCTACAATTTGGACTTGAAAATACCATTTTTAAATCTTGGGCCTATGAAGGTTGTAGGCTTATGTCTTACCTTTCCATCCATATAAAGTAGACATAAATCCAAGATCTACAGCTCCAGATATGACCCAATTACCAAACAGTGTTCCGGTTTGGACTGCACTAATATCTCTTTTCTAAGTTTGGTCATCTCTTTGTCCTTTCAATTTCAGTTCTTAAACTCATCAATCAATCCTTTCATTTATGTGATAGGCCTGCATTTAAAATGAAAATTTACTATAAATTAAAGGTATCTTATATTATTAGATATGTTATTATAAAACATGTTTTAGTTAAGGAGTTATTGATACTTCAAGTGCAAAATGATGATATAAAACCTTGATAAAAATGCATCTTTAAATGCTAATCACACCCCCCAACCAGCTTATTACTAGTTCCTAGTAATCAAAGCGTTAAAATAGAAAAACAATTTGCAAATTCCACAAAGCAAGGTATTCATCATTTAACTTCCATTAATCTATCCAGATAAACAAACTCTTATTAAATTTATATATTTGTTCAATACCTCTTAAACAAGATATTAATAAACTTTTATTTTGTGCTTAATATATCAACACATAGTTATGGAGCTTTTCTTAGAAGAAAACAAAATTTTTGTTCTAATGTTTACGATTACCTTTCTTGAGTTGAGATTATTATTTTTTTATTTTTTCTTATTTTTTCTTATTTTTTTAATATATATACATACAACTTAAAACACCATGCATCTTTAACCCATGTAACAAGCTTTTGGCTAATGACTTCCAAACCAGTTGGTCTTAGGGCATTAGGTGTTGAGACACCTCTACGAGCTTAGTAACTCAGGTTGCTGATACTGATACGTAGATAGTGCAATATTTGATTTCCTTAAGCTTTTCACCTTAACCCATATAACAAGTATTAGACCAATAGCTCCCAATTCAGTTGTCTTTAGGGTATTAGGTGTTAAAACACATCTCTTCAGGCTTAATTGCATATGTTAGAGAAGCTAAAAAACCAAACTTATCTACATTTTTATTATCATTATTTTATTTTATTTTATTTTGCTCATTTTTTTTCAAATTATATACTATCCATTTCCCTTAGTTATTACCTTTAACAAAAGAACATAAATAATGTAATAATCCAATGTGCAACCCGCAATCATATGTTAAAGTGTGTGTGTGAAAATTAAGGTTTAAAAATACATGTTAAATGAGCATATGAGCAGAATTAAGTGATAACAATGTGAGAGTTTGTAAACCTGAATATTTCAAGAAATATTATAATAGACCTTGTTAAGAATGGTTACTAAGATGTGTCTTAAGAGTCACTTTAACAAAAGAGCTCCTTTACTCTGTCATCCTACTAACAACAATTTTTCACATGCTTTATGAAATAAAAGACACAGTTAGTTAATTTTTTTTCAACTACTACCCTCTCCCCCCAACCAAAACGAGACATTGTCCTCAATGTCCTAAGGTAGAAAGATAGAATACAGAAGACATCACTTGAAATAACAAACACTGACAAACCTGAAACACACTTAAACAAATATAAGAAACAACAAAACACAAATATTATGCTATTAATAAAACCCAAAGACATAAAGATTCACAAATGAAGACTCAAATCCAATCTAAGCTTTTTATGGCTTTTCTTAGATGACAAATTTATACGACTCATGGAGGGATCAATTATAGGAATGAAAGATTGTTCAGCAATAGCAGCAGAGATTATGATTTATCGTGCAAAAGATATTAGAAATTCTTATTCCATAGCATGATCAAGAAAGGACAACAACTTATCATAATAACCATTAACATTTAACAGACCTATGAGTTTATGGTGAATGTATAGTTGAGCCCAAAAGAAAATATGAAAAATCTCTTTCAATGTACCCAGACCATCTGGTAAGGTAATAAAGACATCAGTATGGTTAAACATTGTATTCATTGGAGCAGACATTATGGAGACCTTTAGTTCCTCTCCAATTGTTTCTCCAATAATGTCTCCTTGTGTTAAAGCTTCGGGGACAACCCCCAAAACTTGACTACCTCCTAAAAATATATCTATTGACACACCTCTCATTAGCAATGTCTAATGAGCTAGAAATCTTGGGTACTCCAATGAGCTAGCAATTGTCCTGAAAAAAAAATTGACAATATTAGTAAACCAAGGTATTGTAGAAACAGAAAGTAAAGATTCATCTGGAAAGTAGTCATCGATTGGTGTGATCTCAGTTTTTAAATCTGTTGTCAATCTTGACAAATGATCTGCAATAACATTTTCGGTGCCTTTCTTATCTTTGATTGTGATATCAAATTCTTAAAGTAACAAAATCCACTGCACCAATCTAACCTTAGAATCTTTCTTAGAAAGAATATATTTTAATGCTACATGATCACAAAAAACAACAAGTGAGCCAATAAGATAAGACCTGAATTTTCACATGTAAATACTACT